GGCTGTCTCTCAGTGAAGAAATATTTTATGAAATACCCAGCCTTTCAGCTCTGCTGCAGATTGGGAAGGACAACCATTGTAAGGAATAAAAAGGCTGTTGACCAAGCCAAGAAAGGTGACCACAAAACAAAATTGCCCCAGTCCCACTTCCACGACCTGACCGAGCAGGGAGATAGCGAGCTGGCTCACGAGCTAGTGAGAAAGATGACACGTGGGAGTTCTCAGCATCATCTGGACCGGCAGAGCAGCCCACATAAAAGGCATAAAAAAGCCTGCTGATCAGATTGGTGTGACAGAGGCTCATGAGAGACATGCACATTTTCAACCTAAACGACAGCTTAAGGGATCCATATTACTAATTATCAACTAATATTGCCAGAGTTCCCAGGCCAGCTTCAAAGGTTCCCACAAAGTGCCCCGAGCAGAGGGTTTTTCATCTCATCATAAGGCCGTTTTCTTTGTCCCTGCTAAAGCGGCGGCTCCGTCCGAGCGGTGCGCTTGGAGTCAATCCGTTTGCACAGGATAAGCTTTACAGCAGTGAAAGTCATTACCTTCGCCACACCAAAGCAGAACATTTGCTGCAACTGTTAGAACACCTTTGCACCTAATTTCACACACGCACACAAAAAAAGGTGGTTTCCTCTCTGCTCCCCACCGCCTCTTAATTCCCTGCTAACACCTTTCCAAGAGCTCGCGTGGGTTCCTTGGAAATATAAAGAGCGGGGAAAGGGGACTGGGTGGGGTGGGGGATGGAATAGATATCAGATCTCCGGACAGTGAAACGAAGCCGCTATCTCTAACATCCTGCAGAGCTCAGGCTGAGGTCACAAGTTAAACAGGACATCAGGATAGGTGATGTAATTTGCTTATTTAGGATCAGCGCTTTCAGCGAAGCGAACGAGACAACCTATTTGGATTTACAGCTAATCCCATAATAAACGCAAGGCAGCTCAGTTGCAGAACCTGCAGCTGAGGCCAAAGAGATTTTTTTCCCCCTGCACATTTCTCTTTTGCAGCAGCAGCAGGTCGTCCCCATCTTTCTTTCTCATACGAATGCATCGAAACCTCACCTGAAGGCAAAGCTGCAGGCTCTCACCGTCGAGCTTGGCAGCAGCTTGTCACCTCAAGCAGAGCAGAACTCAGCATTTCTGAAGACAGACAGGCCCTCCTGGCTCCAAATCTGCCTGCAGAGTCTCAAACCAGCAAGAATTTTACAGCTGAGGTATAAACTTTTAACGACAGGGGTTCTTATATAACAAGAATAATTTATTGGCTTGCTTCTGCAACACTGAACACACTGTTTTCCCGTCGAACTGTCGTGACACACACTTGCGATATGAAGATTTAAAGCGAACAACTTGCACCCTTTCTCCCTTTGGTTTATCCCCATTCAAACCGGAATTTCACCCGGACGATACTGCACAAAGCGCCATTACTCATAACCGAGGGCTTCCATCCCCCTTCCTGAATTACCTCCCTTGACACAAGTGCTTTTTCCCTGACAAGAACTCTGCTTAGCCAGATATCAGACTTTAGTCAATGGACGAGGAAGTCCTCCCTACCTCTGGCTCACTGACAAAGACAGCAAGAAAGGAAGATGCATTAGCCACACTGTAAGATCAGTAAATAGATGCTTATTTTCCTCTGCCTCTCCCACATTGACAGGGAACTTCAAAGATTGATGTTCAAAGACAGTACAGAAAGGAGAGATGGAAAGGCCAAGTCAGTCATCTGGCCAATATTTCCCAAGCAAAGTTAATTTTCAAGGGTTCTTTACTAGGCTGGAATCGCCTTCCTGCTCCTGTGCTGCACTGCTCCGAGTGCCTGGCTCAGCTGCCGTGGCCATCGCGCGTGTCCCGTGCACGGACCCTGTTTGGAATGATCTGCTGCCCAGATGTTTGTATCCGCAGCTGCAGCAGTCCACTTTTTAGCAGGATTCTTTTTTTTTTTTTAAATCCAAGTTCTGTGCCAGAACTTCCTCTAAGTTAGCAGGAGCAGAGAGCCTGTCTTCTATAGAAGCTAACTTGGTTGTTGACCTATAGTTGCTTACTGCAGCCCCAACACTTCCCAAGGATCTTACAGATAGCGTCAGGGACCAGCGAGCCAAATTTACCGTGTAAGAAACACCCCCGTCGCGCTTTTCACACCCACCCATTTCTAAGGTTGCTACTTGCAGATATCTGAGGAGAAAAAAGTGGCATACAAGACACTCAAATGAGTACACAGAGGGCAGGAAAAAGACATTTGCATTTCAAACAGATAGAGGAAATGGGTTTACTTCAATGATTTTAAGGCTAGGAAGCTTCCTGGGGTCTCTTTGCATGTCCTTGAAAGACAGAATTTGCTTTATCTCCGTTCAGTCCCCTAAACCACCGCTCACTGAAGGCAATAGCTGCAGAGGCTACGCACAGGCGACTTTCATGAGGACCCGAGAGCCCTGAAGAGACAGCACATGAGGGACCCACACAAGGGAGGCCAGCGCCGACAGCGGCCTCCACACCACAGCACTGCGCCCAAACACTGAAGGCCGCAGGGAGCAGGAGTGAGGACAAGCAGCACGCGGGTCTTGTTCCCTTTGCATTCGCTGCGAGAAGCCAGACAGAGGTAGATGGCATTCACCATTGTTTTCAGAGAGAAAAAAAGTTCAGTATTTTGGCAGGTTTACAAAGTTAGTCCATTCTTTGCATCTGCAAAAGAGAGGTCGTCCATCCCCACTGAGGGAGCTCACAAAAGGAAACATATTTTATAGCAATCTCGGGTCCAACATTGAATTGGGACCTATTTTTACCGTGCGCTCTGTGTTACACACATTAATTGTTAGGGCAACGACATTTGCTGACATGGTCACTCCAATCATTGACAGGACAGAAGCCCAAGAGACAAAACAAGCCCCGCTGCATGAGACCGGGTGAGCCAGGCAGGATGCCGCATTGCTCCCTGTGACACACAGAGAACGCTCAGCTCCTGTGGACGATCACGGCTGACAAGGCCCCCGCAACGTCCCTCACCAGCCCCAGGAGGGTCCCCGCATCTCCAGCCTGCTGAGCACCTACCGGCTCCTCCTGGAAGCTCGTCCATGCAAGCGCAGACCCCGGGCCACACGTGCGGACTGAATCCCGGGCCGCCCCTCAGCGACGGACAGTCCTGCAAGGAGCTGGCAGAGCTCAAACCAGGCAGCAAAGCGGCAGCATGAAGGGAGGTTTGCAGGGAATTAGGATGTTTTGCAAAACACTTGCAAAGGAAATGCTGAGGTCTCTGTGTTGGCTGCAGGGGTCCCAGAGCACCCCTTGAAAAGGATAAATAGGCTTTTTTTTTTTTTTATGTGGGCAATCAATATGCATTACAGTTATATATTATGATGTTTTTCAATTTACCATCTGCAATTTCCCTCTTTACACCTAAATTTCCCAAGATCTGCAGGTGCAGAGCTCTCCTGTGCAACTAGCTGGGAGCCTGCTAGGAATATACAGCTGAGAAAGCTTGGGATGCTCCTTGCAAGCAACAGTGATCTACGAGTGAAGCCTGTGGTGCAATCTGTGGAGGACAGCTGAACAAAATCAGCTCTGAAAAGCCAAAGCCTTAACTGTAGGTAAATACATGATTCAGAACACAGCACAGCTTGACAAATAACAGCATCTTCCCATGTGGAGCAGCGTAAAGCATGCAGCTGTTCTATCACCACAATTTACAGAGGACAACATTTCTCCTGGAAGTAAGGGAACACTCAGTATAAGCTCCTGGCCAGATTGATGATCCCTATTTATACTGTAAACTAAGAGAGCACATACTAGAAAGCTGTGGAGTTAAGAGGTTTCAGACTCCAGCTCATGAGCAAGGGTCAGTTTTATGTTCCACACCCCCACGCACCGCCCCAGCCTAGGAATCCATCAGGTTTATTACAGGTCTTTCAATAGCAAACAAGCCATCAGATCACTACATTGCAGTGAAACCGCCAGGCTGAACATGCTGTCCTGGATGTGAGGATACACCTTTACCCTGCAGATCTGCAGATCAACCCTTGTTGTCTGTCCCATCTGCATGGGGTTCATCCTTCAGGCAACCCGAACAGCTGGACAACTCTCAGTTTCTGTTCAAGTTACAGACGTGGTTCCATCAACCTCTAATATCAGATACAAGCAGAGTCCTAGAAAAACACACTCTGTTGTGTTTGCTCAAGAGCCATTTGTACAGTTCCGCCAAGCTAGGAGACCCTGCCAGCTGTCTACCAAAAGGCACCGAGCCAGACTGTACTGAAGTGCTCAGCCGGCGTGTTTACTTATAAGAGAAACTTCTTTTTCAAGCTAGATTTCCAGTTTCTTCTTTTTCTTTCTTTAAACAGTGATAAGATGAGAAACGTTGAAGCTGGAAGTTGGTATATATTATTGCTTTTGAGGGGATAAGTTTCAGCATGTTACTGTTAACACATAGAACAGTGAAACTGGAAGAGATGGTGCAGATTTGAGCTAATATAGTCAAGATTTTGTCTTAAAAAAATCCACAGATATCCAATGCCAAACACAATCTGAAATCCTCAGCTAGCAGGGACATGAATTAACCAAATAACTCTGTAAAAGAGTAAGACCCTGAAAAAAATCTCTATTAAAATAATTGTTATCAGAATCACAAAGCCATAATTAAACTTGGTTTATAATTAAAACACTATGGGTCACAGACAGAGTACTCGGGAACAAAAAGAATATAATTGTGATAGTCAATGCCAAAAACAACATGCCAAATATCCCAAATCTGAAAACCATCAGTTTCTAGCAGGCTGCACATGCAGTGCCTGTTCTGTTTGGCTGAGCTGCCAGCACTCACGAACGCTCTTCGCGCACTCAAAAACCCCTCACACCTTTGCAAGACTTTGCCAAAGTCCAAGCATAAATCTTGGCAACCAAGAGCAAGCCGCTGAACGCCGAACCCCAAAAGCTGAAATGGTGTCTGCTGTGCAAGGAACAGCAAGTGAGCACTGGCTTTAAATCAGCAAAGGCCAGTCCTACCTGGCAGCGACTGAAGATATCCGCCAAGGTTACTTGGACGTTGAAGTGCTTCAGAACCTGCAGGGCCTGTTCTTTTGCCTTTTCGGAGCAGTTCACGGAGAAACACCTTCCTTCGCCTACCTGGGACTGCAGCTTCAAAAGACAAATCATAAACCAAAAACTTAACACGAGGCACTCCATGCATAACGATCAGTTTTGATTTTGTCCTGTTTTTCCTAATATACTTGGTTTGCTTTCAGTAACAAGTAACATTGGGAGGGCATTTACAGTCTAAATTTTGATCTAACAAGCACAGCAGGTAACTTAACACTTTGCCTTAATCACAAACAGCCTTGACACTACTGAAGCAGTGTTCAGTACATCCTACACGATAGTCTAAGCTCCCTTTAACTTATTATTCGGTGGCATGGTGCTGACAGTGACAGCAAGAGGAAACTGAATTTAATCACAGCTTTCACACGAAACCTGGCCAGATCACACACTGTTTGCAAAAGCACATTCAAGGAGATGGTGTCTAATGACAGTTTTACTACTTCAGCCCTTCCGTTTTACACATTTTTGTACCTGGACTTCATAGATGGCCAATGAATTTGAAGGGGTTGATGCAGACACTTCCTCCTTGTTTGTTCCACATTTAGTACAAAAGTCTGTATCTGAGAACGAGCACTGGGAAGTGTCCAGAGACAACTTTATGAATGTGATAAAAACTGACAGCGAGCTGGGATCAGCTAAATGCAAGTAAAAGAGCCTGGCAGAGCCATTCTGTCCACATGTAAGGCATACAAAGGCAAGGGAACAAAGGGAACCAGACATTTCCCAGGACAATATTGCACACTGGGAAGCAATTATTTCCCTTTTGCAATTTCTGCACAGTACTTTGGAGTTATAGCTTTGCCAAGTAAGATTATGCTGGACTCTGAAATACCTACAACATCAGCCGCAGATGCTGGCAAGCACAGCTTGGATAAGGAGCCTGTAACATGGCATGGCTCCACTTGCCTCACACTATCTCATCAAAGGGGCAGTTTTCTTGAATGTTCATCTACAAAGTAGGGATTTACCAAAGCAAGTTCTGCAAATGCTCCACCTAACTGTTTAAATAGTTGGGATCTCTTTTATCTATAGTCTGAAATGCAGTCTCGCACTTGGACTCGTATGTGGCAGTAAGAGAGGGCACAGACCTTGCAGCCGACATCAGGACATGGTGGGCGTTGATGTGAGAGGCTCAGAATATTCCCACCAACCGTCCACTTTGCAGTATGTTTCATGAAGGACTCTGAATGACTAGTCCTAAAGGCAAGGTTGGGTTTTGCTTTGGTTTTTGTGCCCCTGTAGAGCAAATTCAAGCTTCCTGGTCCCATGCTTAGTGGCTTGTCTCTCTTCTGAGGCCAAAGAAAAGTCTTTAAATATGGAAAAACAGCAGAGTGCTTTGTCAGGATGGACCCAGCCAGCAGTAAGCCAGTAAGGCTCCTTGTGATAAAATGCATGGGAAGTGAGTTTCACTTGCCAGTAAGCCCATACAGAAACATTTTGGCTTGATTTTTTTGACATGGAGGTCAATTGCTCTCCTTGCTGATGAAGTATCAAGCACAAAAGGAACTTTAACTTGGCCGTTCAGAACAAGAGCAAACCTCACAAGACCCTTTTTGTAGTTTCAGGGTAGTTTTCAGACCAAAAAAAGCCAAGCCAGCTGTTCTTTCACATCTGGCTTTTCCTCTTCTCTACACTGCACATCCCAGACTATGCAATGACACAATGCCAGAGAAATGCCAGAAGCTCTAAGCACTTACAGTCTGATATGGGAGTCCAGAGGTTAAAATGACCCTTCCTTCCTGTCGGGCAATCTGGAAAAAAAAAAAAATCTGAAAAAAAGTCTTATTTAGCATAGGTTGAAGTTAGCAGTGAATTCAAGTTTCCTTCCAGTCAAAACACAGAGAACATGAACTGGTGACACAGAGTCCTCTATGGTGTCGACATATGCTAGGCCAAGAGTATATGGGTCGAGTTCAACTATACGTTTTTGACAGCAACAGCAGCTTAAGGTATTGCTCCCTCACTGCGCATGTGCTGGAGCAACTACTTGTGCATCTGCACTGCAGATGGACCAAGAAACAGATCCACCTTGAAAAAATCCTATCAGAAAACCTTATTATTTATTCATTTATTTTTCCTTAAGCCAAGCTATTTTTTTTTCCTCGATCTGTCTCACAAAGCAGCAAGCAGTCCTGCTCACTCAGCAATAGGCAGGGGAGAATAGAAAATTACCTTAAGCAGGTAATTCCAGCAAAAAAAAAGAACATTAAATGTGTCTGTAAGCTTCAGACATTAAGAAGGTGATGCTCACTCCATCCCTTAGAGATGAGGCGGTATTAATTTCCTGCAAAGCAAAAATAGGTGCAGAGAAATTGTGTGCCCTTTCCAGTTCACAAAGAGAGTCCCCATCAGTGTTTTTCATCCTCTGACTTGTAATCTTGTGCTTTTACCAGAGGTCTCCTTCAAGGGGGAGGTCTGCAAAGAGTTAGCAGGGGACTCATTACTCATGCTTGTGACCTTCACAACAGAGTAAGAGGTGTTTTTGAACAGTTTGGGGCCAAAGGAATATACTAAATCTGGAACTGCAATTCTTCACAAAGATGAAAGTGTGACTGATCTTCATGTGATTAAATGACATCTCTCCCCTCCACTCCTCCTTCTAGGAAGAAAATATTTTCAGGTCTGCAGCAAGAAAAGGATTCCCACGTGAACCAACACGTCTGCTCTGCTAGTGCTGACAAGAGATTGGCACTTCAAGGTAGGCATGAGGTTATTTTTCTTCTCTGGCTTGGATTCTGCTGGAAGCCCTTGTGTTTTTCACTACTTCCAGATGCACGTCATGGCCGTCTCTCTCTTGGTTCCGAGTTTCAGAAGCTTTCTCTGGATCGCTCCTTAACCCCAGTGGGATACATCTGGCGATCAGAGTCTCGCTGCACCTCCCAGACTGCTTTGACAGCACCAAGCAGAGCCAGGGAACATCAAGCTTTAGAAAACAAACAGTTTTCTTAAACTCCCTCCTGGATTCTCTCAAGACTCTTTTGACCTATGGGACACACAATGAGAAGGTAGTAGCTCTAAAGTTACAAAATGCCCTTTCAGTAAATCCAACAACTATTTTCTTCCTAACTTCATCTTCCAGGTAGCCTTTTTACTCCTTCCTTTTGCAGTCACTGCTCTGACAGCACTAAGAGGGGAACTGGTAACAACCTCTAAAGCACCATCCTATAGTCCAAATCACTGCATTTCTCTCAAAACTACCTCCTCCTCTCAGTAAAGTAGAAAATCTCAAGTAACAGAACTGTTGAAGTGGCAGATGAGATGGCCTTTGCTCAGAGCAATCCTGTCTGCACTCACTATGACTGAACAGCCCTGTGTGCAACTGGCCAACAACCCAACTCCATGGCACAACCTCAAGAGAAGTCCCGTGAGGCCTCAGCTAAACTTCACCACAGTGGGGAAGGCCACATGGGGAAAGAGGTCTCTGAAACTCCCTCAGACCCGGGCGCCTTGATGGGTCCATCGGAGGATTTCACAGCTGGAGCACTCAATTGTGACTCCCTGCATCCAGGGTTAATTAGTTCAAACTTGACAAATCCCCTTATCTAAATGGCTCTGCAGAGATGAGCAAGGAACACCAAATAAAAAGGAGAAAAGCAGTATTAGCCATGAACACCTCAGGCTAAATAACAGAGGAAAGACTCTTGCAGCATCATTTTCTGCCTCTGGAACAAGGGCTGGGAGAAGCAGGCAAAGCCAGCAAAGTCATGTGATAGCAAACGGCTGACTAAACCTGCGGAGGACACGTGCTGGAGAAAACGGCACAGCTCCTTTTCCTCCCTTGAAACAGGTAACTGAGCTTCAGGACCTTCTGGGCAACACCGTGATCATAAATACAGCTAAAAGGAAAGAAATGATTAGAGCAGCTTGCTGGGGTGGGAGGCAGAGCCTCAAGTCCAAGCAGTGTAGAGAGGTCACTGGCCTCGGTTTCACAACCTATTAAAAAGCTGCTATCAGCTTCCTCTGGAAACTGCTTAGATCTTCTGGATAGAAAGTACTACCTAAGACCTTGTGATTACTATGTGCCCCCTAAGAAGACTCTATATTCAGCTAACTTTAATCTTGCAGAGATGACCAAACATAAGCCATTCATGGGCAAAAGAAACCTGGAAGGGCAAGAACTGAAGAGGGAAGAAAAAAAGAGAAATCCTATATATCAAAGCAAGTACCAGCAGCAAGACCCATTACAACCCAAAGAACGTGGAGATTTAAGTGCACAGAAAGCTTCCAGAAACAGCAACACAGAGCTGCAGCCTCATAATTCAAGGAAAAGTGTGTTTTCTGTGGTGGCTGAGCCCTCGCCTGATGTGCGCCAGGCCACACACACGTCCCTGATGAGGCAAACGGCTGCGTGCCTTTTGCAAGGCAGGTGTCTAGGAAAAGCTGCCTTCCCTTGTAGGGCAGAGGTTCAGGAATCACCCTGAGCCAGCAAGGGCACATTTAAACAAAAAGAAATGGATAGAGAGCATCTCGTCCGGGCTGTGCGCTGCGGTAGGATCTCCTACACCCAGGTAGGATCAAAGCCTTGCAACTCCCCAGCCACTATCTCACACTCTGTTAAAATGTAGTGGCCCAGACAGTAACAACTCAGAGGTTTCATCACTTATGGATGCACTTAGTCCAGACTCGTGTATTTGCTGTATTTATGGTATTTTAAAGCTAGACTTCTCTTCAGCATTTGTGAAAATCATACATTGCACAAAGTCAGGGCACGATTTGGTAAAATGGCTGTAAGTATCAGACCAAAACCACTGAACTGGTGTTGTTACTTAATGTAGACCTATTTGCATCAAGATCTCCAAAGGAAAAAAAAAAACCCTTCTGTTGGCCAAACATAAAGAACTGAGTCTTAAAGACACATTTTCAGTTCTCTGGATCTGCACTGCCTTTACTTTGCAGACTGGTGGAGAGTTAAAGGGACTGGCAAACTGAAGGAATGTTTTACATCAAAACCTTGGAAAAAGACATTCAAAGCAAAGATGAGATCACAGATCAGATATTCCCACCACATGAAGCTCTGCTCCACTGTAGCATCAGAACTCCCCTTTGCGTCTCATTGCTCCAGTGTAATCCAGGGGTAATTTAGTTGCAGGCGCACATCGCTCTAGCTGGCTCCTGAGATCCATCTAAATCTCATCCTCCTCTCCAACTTACTGGTCGACCTGAAAATTTTGGTGAGTAGATATAACCTTACAAAGAAGCCTTCAACACCATGAGAGTTGTAGGAAGCCAGTTCTACCAGCCTTCTGGATGTTATCGCACTTCAAAAGATACCAGGTTTGCCTTAGTATGAAGATTACTCTTATAGATGATGATGGTTTTGAAGTTGAAGAGCACAGGCCATTAAAAAAATCCAAGATAGGTTTAAGATTCCCTACAAAGAGAAATGTGCAGAAGACAAGCTGGCAAATGTGTCTGGAAACACAACAGGCATACAACACGGTTAAAGTAAATATATATATATATTTAAGCAGATAAAACATTTGTTCTTTAAAGGAATAACTGCAAAGGATGGCTTCTCCCAAGAGGGCCAAGTTTAACAGCAGCTACAGACATGGAAGGACACTGCCCAAGAGACGCTCCACGTTCTTGATGCGAGAACAGAAGCCCCTGCAGTGTGGGCGTAGCAGAAATAACCCAGCACGATGCAGTCAGAAGCCCCTGGAAAAGACCCGCTGGACACGTACAGCCCTTCTCCAGAGACTGCCTTATTTACCAAGGAGACGGGAACTGGACTTATGGAGCGAGGCTCCAGGCTGGGCCATTAGCAAAAGCACTGCTGAACGTGCAGGGCTTGAGCAGCATGGCCAGCCTAGGGGATACGATTCAGAGCAAACACATGACAAAGAAGCCAACCCCCCTCTCAGTTCATGGGCTGCTCTCATGCAGGTGAGGGAGCTTGTCCAGCACACCTGGGGCAAACACTCACCCCCAGCTGCACAGCTGTTTGGCCAAACCGCTCCATGCACTGCACTCCAGCAGCTGTGATCTAAATGTGCTACAAATATTACTGCCACCCCACGGAACCAGAAGACCTGGAAAACAACATGGGGCCCACGTTTGGACACAAAACTGCTCTTCCCCAAGGAAATAGTGCATGATAATGCATGGCATGATAAATTTGCCACGTCGAACGTCATCCAAGAAAAGACGTTTCACCAAAGATAACAACACAACATGAAGCAGTACATAGGACAGGTTGGTTTCAAGTTTAGCCTGGAAATGGGATTTCTCAAATCAGTGCATGAGCATTACTCCTTTTACTGCAAAACACTCGAAGAAATTGCAGGGAAAAATATCCATGGCTGTGCAAGCACAACTTACATTGCTCTCAAGCCTTTCATTTATCTTTTTAAGTCGAATGATATGCTCCATCTACCTTCCAATACTTGAAGTTCCTTTAACAACAGCCAGTAATGAGAACAACGAGGAACAACCTCCAGGGTATTCAGGAGTTCTTGGCCCAAGAAGCCATGTGATATCACTGATAAATCATTTCAGTGAAATTACAGTAACGAAGAACAAACATCAACTCTACAGACGCACACAAGTTCCCGGTGAGGTGACGTTAGTCTCAGATTGCTTTGGGACAACATCAGAACTGCCTGCCTTGTGTTTGGGGACCAGGATACAAATCTTTTTCCTGCCCTTTGCAAAACCATTTGCTGGTTTTCTGGTATACAGTGGTTAGGTTAACATCCAACTTTTATTAAATCGGGAATTATCGGATATAAAGCAGGGTGGGAGTGGTCCATTTTTATCTTTGATTATCCAAACCCAGATCAAAGGCTCTCCAATACAGTAACACTCCAAGGGTTTTTGATAGTGAAAGGATGTTTGTCCGGTCACCATAGAGAAAGCAATGTAAAACATCCTGTTCTTAGCACGATAAGGAATCAGGATGAGAAGAGGAGATGAAGCTCTGGGGGGAGGCAGTGAGAGCTAGTTTGTTTAAAAGACTTGTGCAAGTTTGGCAGAGTTGATATATTAAATATTTCTGCAGAACCTAGAGCCTGCCCAGGATTCAGGGCAGGCAGACATGTGAAGAGGAAACATCCTGTGCACCAGGCCAGTGATCAGTGCACGCTCAGCAGTAACACGCTGCATGGGCTGGGTATCTCCATCTCTGGCATAGCAGAAATAGATCTGAAACGAAGACGCACGTGTCTCTCTCTTCTGACATGCAGGGGGTCAAAGTGGTTATGACAGTCCACATCAGTGTTAGCTGTCCCCATGTATGTCAGGGAGTTTTCCTTTCCCAAGCCTTTCACTGCAGTTTGTGGTTGAGTCATCTCACGAGGCAGTAGCCAGCTCGGAAGTCACCTGGTAATTTATTACAGCAATTTTCCCTTCCATGCTGCACAGCTGCTCTTTGATTACGTTTCAACTGGACTGACCCAGTATAGAGCAGGCACAAAGCATCCTGGCAAGCCCAAACGGGAGTCCATTAGTCCAAATGAGTTTTGGTTCCTTTTTCTATTATTTTGTGCAAGGGTGCCAACATCCCATTCAAGACACTGGAGACCACAGGCCACACCTCTAGCATTTATATCCTTTATTGACTTAAAATGACAAAAACAGACAGACAAAGAAGACTTGAGATCATGGCACTCTAGGCAAAGTGTGGTCTGTTCACCTTTTCTCCCTGGAAATGGAATGCCAAACGCCAGTGTAGGCACTAAGGAACGCCAGCTGCCGCGTGGCACACATGACATGGTCCGGGCAAGGGCACAGGAGGAACCATGTGCAGGGCACGTCCCACCAACCTGCTGTCAGTGCTGCCTTCACTGAATAACTAACCAGTGAGGTCATTCCTGAAGCTTCAGGCCTTCTCCAAGGAACACAGACAGGAGTTACAAACACACACATGTGACTAACCTCGGCAGCTTTCCTGTGGTCTTCTTCGTTCTCCAGAATCCGGACATCTACACCAAGGCAGCGAAGATAGCGCCCAAGGCCTTGCAACATGTTATCACAGACCACGCTGAACTCCTTCGGGGAGATGGGCTCAGCAGGACACGAAGCTTCCTTGACAAACCTTTTGCATTGCTAGAGAAAAACAACAGATCTGTAATCTGCAGAACAGATGGCTGATTTCCAACATATTTGTACTTTGCCTCCCTGCAGTCACCCACTGTGACAAATCCAAGGGTCCTCTACCACTTGCATTACAATTTCTACCTCTGCAAAACCTTTGCATTTCTCTTAACGTCCCCTAGACTCTTCCACATCGACCATCCAGTCTTTGGGAAGGAGGCAACACATGATGGGGCTAATTCTGGGTTAATCATTTGCTGACTAGCCAACTGACATTGATTAACTAGCCACACAAAACATGACTTGCAGCCTTTCCCTGGGGAAATGCTAACTTGGCCTTCCCTGGTCTACTCAGACATCAATTTTCATGAAGTCAGAGAAATTCATCTTCAAGACTGCTATTCCCTTGTCAAATTAGGCTGCAGATGTTCTAAGTTAATGCTAGAGAAAGGGATCTGTCAGACAGAAAAAGAAACAGGTAGACAAAGCAGTCACGTCAGCCTTGTTATCTTTGGAAGTTTAAAAATAGATAGTGCCTGAAATCTGTTTATTTTATTTCAAATGTCTGCTGCTGGGGAAGTTCCTGCAGTTGAATACTTTGTCTTTGGGAGACTCCCAGAAGCACAATGGCTAAATTCATGGAGAAGAGAAGTTATTAAATAGCCTCTAGCGTTGAGCTTTACCTTCGGGAACTTCAGTCAGCTGGAATGACTGCAGGACACTGCCACCATCTAGGCAGGAGCTAACTCTGGCCTGGACGCGCTGGGAGGCACAATGCAGACACCCCCCAGCTGCCTGCGTGGACTTGCTCAGCTCTGCGAGCATCGCAGATGCATCTCCGGGAGGCTGGTCTGTGCACTCAGAGCTCTGCAGCACGACAGGGACTAAGTGAAGCATCCCTGGCTCCAGAAGGACATTGGAAGACGCAGATGCCCTGAGACAGAGTGCACAATAACGGAGCGAGCTGCCCCTCCATTACTGAGGTAGTCAGAAGATGCTGACCCCATGCTGTGGCTTCTGCTCAAAGGGACATAAAGGAGCAGCATCTGGCTCTTAACCAGTCATTGTGCAGTGACCAGCAATTTCATATCTAGCTTTTTGTCTAACTTTTCATGCCAGTGGAGCTCAGAGGGCTTTTGGAGGAGGACAGTGTCATCAGCCTCGTTTCATACAGAGTGGACCAGGAAACACAGAGAAAGGGACTGAAGTTGTGCATGAAGCAGAGTTAGGCAGAGGAGTTTGCTTTTTTGAGCCCCAGTCCGGGTTTTACTACCTACCTCTCAGCTAATGAATTTGACTGTGCAGAACACAACGATGACCCATGAACTTACCAGGTTAATTCCAGCCTGAAGTACTTACTTCTCCCATCTCTGCAGCAGTCAGTCAAAGGTGTTATAACCTATGTTGTAACTTGCAACACTCCTATACACACGGAGTGCTTAGAAAAGCACTCAGCAGCTCTGTGTTTTATCAAGACTAACAGGGTAGCATACATTGACACATACTAGATAGGAGGATCCCCAAAAGGAAGCTACCATCAGCAGCATCTCACTGCAGCCATGGAAGGTACTACGGACACCAGGAGCTACATACACCTTTGGGACTTCTTTGAAGGACACGCAGCCATAGTTAGCCTGGCCAGTTCCTCAGCAAAGCCAGTTTTCCACTTATGTTTTCATAGGTGCACAAACAACTGGATAGGTGCATTTTGAAAGTAAAACATTTACCTCCTTTATCACTAAGAGACAGGGATCAGTCATAATGGAAGATATTTAAGCAGTCACATAGCCCCAAGCTATCACCAGCTGGATTTTAAGGCTCTTCCATAACATATGTTGCAGGAAGAGGTCAGTCATGGAGGACATGGTGGTAGGCAGGGAGGTGGAGATCAACCATCTTTTGCAGACTTTTCCTCCCAGTGCAATCAAGAGGCATTCCCAGTGTGGAACCAGTATGTGGAAGCTTCATTAAAAGCAAAAGAGACTGGAGTTTGGAAACCTAATTAATGCAGCACCTAGGCCAAGGAGTTCAAAATGCATGAGTATGAGGAAACGTGAAAGCAGTGCTTCTGCTAGCAAGTTTAACTGGATTCTGCCTCACAGATTTGTACCAATGTTCTTCCAGGAGAGACAGATGAACCTACAATTGCAGGAAAAGCTGTAATGAGGCACTCAAAGGGGAAGGTGTATCTTCCCAGTGGAGGGTTGGCATGAGGAAGACATTTGCTGCAATCGTCCTGAGAATGAGCTACAAACAGGCATATCAGGCAGAGCTAATAGTAAGACTGAAAGACAAGGTAATGTTTGAAGGGGTCTCGAGCAACATGAAGATCTTTGAAGATGTTTACAAACCTGTCCAGAAGATGACGGTACTTCTTGTTTAATCAGCTGCTTCTTTGTCCTGGGTTTTATGCTGGGTTTTCCCACCAGACTCGCAGTCAGGTCTGAACTCAGACCAAAGCTTGCTGGATCCTTGCATAGCTTCCCGTAGACCTCCAACAAACAGTATGCGTCCGAAGCTAAAAGAACAGAACAGGAGCATCAGAGGGTTTCATCCAGAAGAAAAACAGAGGTTTTTATTTGATGTAAGGAAGAGCCTTCACCTTTGCAAATGCCACAAAATATAATGCTTGAATACAAACATTGTGTCAAGGTGCAACTTACTCTCTCCTCTTCTACTTTCAGTACTTAATCACGTGCCCAACTCAGAGCAACACACAAGACATTTTCCCTCCAGGTAATTAAGACAGAGAGCACCAACCTCAATCTAACACAAAGGGGCTGCTATTCATGCAAAGATTTTTCCCCTTGCTGGGCAGAAACACATGAACACAAAGAGTTGAGGCAGAGGAGCTGAAAGAAGCCCCTCCACTGAGACATCGGGGCCTCTGCTGAGACGTAGTGGCTGAGCCCTAATGTGATGCAAATTAAAGCAGGCCTGTTCAAACTGCCTCGCAGGGCAGTTATAGCCACCCCATCTCCCCGGCATTGTTGCGGAGCAGCCGCTCGCACCCACGGTTTGTTACCGCTTCGCAGCTCTGGGAAGGTAACTTCCAGATTCGATGCCATATCTTAAAACGTAATAACCGAGTTGTTTGCAATCACCTGCCCACACACACTGCTGTGCGGCCTCTGCTCCTTGCAACGGAAACCAGCTAAGTCTCCAAGCCAGTTTTACAAGTCCTGGTGATTAACTTTTTGTGGGAACTGTGTCAACTTCAAGGATAGCTGAATTTACCAAAGGGCTGGTTCGCTTCAGCAGACTGGTCTTTGATGCCTCAGGAAAATATTTAGACCCAGACTTCTGACTCGGGGGTAATCAACAGCAACCTCCATTGCTCCTTCCGCCGTACTGACTTTGTGCTGCAGTCTCTGACACCAGCTCTATCCGCTTTTAACCCTGCTCTAACAAGCACTTCACTACGACAAACGAACACAATACTTGTTTCCAAGCAAGGCTATGTGGTGAAATGAGGCAGAAGGAAGTGGACTTTCTTCCTTTTCAGTTGTAGAAAGGAATTTCCACCAAGATGCTGTTTCATCAGAAAGAATCAGCCAAGCACAGGAATTCCTTCAGAAAGGCAATAATGAATCACTGGACAGTTTAAACTTCAACCACTAAAGCCACGTTTGCAAAAAGGGCAAATATTACGTGCTGGCTTCTCTGAACAGGAACTAATAAGCAAAGCCATTTTCTCTGTTTGCTATCTAACGATTTTTCCAGGGACAGCCTGTAACGGACTCTCCGGAGCACCTTGCCATGGAGGTAGTGACCACACCTGCATAGAGGATCTGTTCCTCGCGGAGCGGCCGTTTCTCCCAGTTAGACAGCTGCTCTGTTTTATCTAGAGGCTTCCCCAGTACATGTTGCACCAACAGGCTGAGTCCTCTTTCCGGCTGCCTGAACGCTCTATCCTCGCAGCTGGGCTCTGGGGCCAGTACGTCGACCTTCCGGCCACTCTTCTTCCAGTCAATGAAGCTCTTCTGCAACTAACAGCACAAGAAAGATGTAAAACACATGGTTAGAAAACTACTTCTGCACCACCTCCTATTTCAGAAGGTGGTGTCACACAGCAGCCCTATCATCTCTATCTCTTGCATGGCACATTGTATCCCGTTGTCTCAGACAAGGGCTGGGGTGGCATGAGATATATCGGCGGAGTCTGGTTATTTGTTTAACAAACACCCTTGCTGGAATGAAATGTGTTTCATAACCAGGCAAGGAGAACACCCGTGCTGACAGCATTGCATCAGAGCACTGGGGCTGCGCCGGGGACTCCTCGGGCGTGCAGGGTGCTCAGCTGCACTGCGGGCTGCCAGAGACAACAAAACGGCACAGCAGCAGCAGCAGCAGCAGGATCTTCCTTCACAGGGCCAGTGAGAAGAGGTGTTTCCAAACACGGGGGCCAAGGGCCTTTCTGAAGTTTGCACGTCTCGGATAAGACCGAGGCAGTGGCTGCTGGAGAGCGTTTCAGACTCCGCAGCACTGCCCAGTTGAACTCTCAGTCCTGCAGAGCAGTGTTCAACCCAATCCCACAGCCTTAAACAAACTACAAATTTTACTAGTTAGAATGTTTCTTCCTTACCGTTTCTAAAGACAGCTAAAAACGATTGTGTTCTAACCCAGAGACAAGCTGCATTTCAATCCAGCAGAAATTCCTGTTCTGCATCCATCCAAAGCCCTCCTGAAACACTGTAGCTTCTCTACAATCCAATAGCTCCATAATAACTGCTTTGGTACCAAAGAGGTTGGAATATCAAACTTTCTACAAGCACCTTCCTCCTAGTTGAACAAAACCATGTTCCCATTCAAGTGCTTCGTCATAGCTTTCATACTGTCTATGAAAGAATTATATCAAGCACTGACCTTCTGGTTGACAAAAAAAGAAAAAAAAATCTTCTTTCTTTGAAGAGTCACACTATCCTTGAAACCAGAAGGGGAAAAAGTTCTACTAATTCATTTAGGCATTTCCCTGCCAATACAGGATACAGAAAGAGAAATGTTGCAAAACCATGGCAATTATCTACCAACCAGCAAAGGCAAAAGAAATTATTTTCATTATCTTCAAAGTCCATCCTTACTTGTTTGTCTACTGTGAGTAGATCCACTACACCCTGAGCTTGCTTATCCACATCTTTCAAAGCAGAGCATGTGGCTGCAAGGCTCTTAAGGTCTCCAGACATCCCATAACCTGGAAAAACAAACCCCAAATCAAACAGCTAGTAAAGCTCAAATCGTGGCTAAATCCCTGCAGTTCTGTCTTGTCAAAACATTCACAATGTATGTACAAACTTTGGTGGAAAGACTGCTCAAAGTAGGGAGAAGGGCAGTCTCCCAGCTTTCCTGCTTCAAACATTTACTCTTGCAGGTGAAGACTGGGAGTGTAAAGGTGGATGGAAAAGGTTTGCTGTGTATTTTCCTGTAGCTTCTGAAGTTGCACTTCTCAACTGAGTTAAAATTTGCTAGACCAGTGAAAGGCTAACAGATCAGCTCCATGAGAAGTTTTAGTCTCCAACAAGTTGCACTGGAGAATTCTATGTCCTCAAAACCAGCTTTACACTTCCCCAAAACATTCAAACAGAATCTAAATCCAGGAATGCTAAGCAACAGAGGCCTGAGGTCTACCAGGGTAGCTTCAGGAAAGGGCAAGCAAATCCAGAAAGCTGGATGGCAGACTTGCATAGTCCACTCAAGGCTGGTGTAAGTCAGGGCTTGGTACAGAGGTAACCAAGACAATCCCAAGCCCACGGGGATCAGGCTAACTTGAAAACCTTTGGCCTGGCCTGAAAAGGGGACATTTCTGTCATTCGCAGGTTTGCCACTCACCCTGCCTTCTGATATAGCAATCTTTGAATACCCAGTCCTACAAAAGCTGAAAATGCTTAGAAAAATGGCTTAGGAATTTCAGACAGGATGAGAGGTTGACCTCCTTTAAAGACATGAGCAGGAGAGAAGAGAAGCAAGTTACCAAGTTTAGTGATGCCTGGATCCAAATAGAGCCTCTGGATGAACTGGGAAAGCTTCTCCTTCTCATCCTCCCTCTCAGCTTTCTCAAGGAGCTGCGGCAAGTCCAGCAGGAAGACCTCCTCATCCACAGCGATTTGGAGGAGGGAGACACGTGGCTTCCCAATGACGCCGAACGAAGGCCTCCATTCCATGTCAATGCCCACCACCTGTCCCGGCTGCAACACAGACAGGTCTTCTTCATTTCCAGATTATCTATACTTGGTTGGTGTGGACCAGCTCTTGAGAGACCAACGCTGTCCCAGGGCCACTACTCCTGAACACTAATGTTTCCTTTTAAATGTCTTCCATTTTGAATTATTGATGTGTGAGCTACTACAGATTAAATGGACTTTCACAGCACACCAGAGTTACCCCTCTGGGGACTTTTCCTGGTGTAGTAATTTCCAATCTGTTCCTCAATCAGACAAGCCTTTAGACCTTGCTCCCTCCCTGAGTAGCTTCCCCTGAGTTGGAGAGAGAGACATTTGATGGCAGTGACACTCACACATAACCCCACATACCAGTCTGCAGTGAGGCTTCTGCTCCTCAACCCTGCAAAGGAAATACCAGAATAAAACTGACCTTCAGCACCTTTTCCCAGCACGGCAGCATCTCTTCCAAAGTCTGCAGAAAGTGAATATTTGCCCGTGGAATAGGTAACTGGTAATAATCCTTCTTCTTCTTAACCTCTTCATAATTCTGTGCCTTCTCAGTCTCTTCCACCCTGCAGAACCAGATCCAACAGCTTTTAAGCATGCCATGAGGGGGACTCCTAGCTTGGAGGAACATCAGGAGTCTTAAGTCCCTCATTTTACTCATGCCTCCTACTTTTCATGTCACACAATTCTTTTTAACTTCCTCTTTTTTCATTTTCCTGTAATTTCTATTTCCTTCATCCTGACTCATACACTCCTTTCATTTTATACACCAAAACCGGCACTGCATTCCAGACCTCTCCATGCACACGCACTGCAGAGACAGCCACCCCAGACAACACGCTCTCACCCAGCTCCCAGGCTCTGTCCTCACTGTTCAGCTCTCGTTCCCAGAACTGATGCAACTTGATAGATGACAAAGTTGGGCAGATGTTTCCAGATTCAAAGATTTTACAGTTTCATTTTACCATTGAAGCCCCTGAAGTTAACAGAGAAGTCTGATAGCTCCCACAGGGCAATATATAACAGAGAAATCATCTTAGATCAACTGGGTGTCCATACAGGAGCTTCATGTTCCCCTAGGACAGAAACTCTCTCCAAAAGGGAATCTCACATTGCTCCACACTTGGATCACTACCAGGCAGGAAGGGGTGAGTCTGTCTCATGAATTTGCACTGCAAAGCCTTGGGAGGGATTCAAGGACCTCCTTGCTGCTATCCAGCTTCTTCTGGTCCATTCTCTTCCCTGTACAACATCCCCCAAACTATGCAAGAACATTTGTCCCGTGTTGCATGGGAAAGAAATGAGGAAAGTTCAGAAATAACGTTTCAAAATCTTCTATATTTAGGGGGAGACTTTAGCCTGAGTGCCAGGCCTGTGCTACTCCATTTGGGCATCAAATGAAACCATGCAGAGCAGCTTAGGATCTGTGTATTTACAACACTGGGAATGTTGGGAAGGTGCCTGCAAAAATGAGCTAACTGGTTTCCTATGACAGGATCTTACACAGCACATTTTCTTTTCAAAACGCAGCAGAGTCTCTTGAAAGGGCCCTGTAACTGGAAGGTCAGCACATTGCTATGGTGTCCCAGCCAGATGATGCAATCAGAGGAGAGAGACTAATAAAAAATATCCAGCTATTTTGGACATATCACAAACTTCTGGATAGTCTCTTTCCCATCGAGACTCAAAAGGGTTTATTATTTGAGAAAATATTTACTAACCCCATGTTTAGGGGACTGTGTGACTGCTTTTGCAGCAGGCAGCTTTCCCTGTACAAACACTCTTTTCCAGGGGTTTGTGTGCATGGAGAAGTCAATATTTGTTTAAAATATTTAATGAAGGTGTGAAGTCTCATGTCCTCAGGACTATTCTCATCTGCAGGGCAGGAGCGGCATGCGGTGGCACCGGTGGCAGAGAAGGTGTCACTTATTTGCTTCCCTGCAGTGTGAACACCCTCCCCGGGAACCCGCCGCTTTGTTAGCTCCAACGGCAGCGCAGCAGAAGCATTGCTCCATCAGGCTTCCTGGTCCATGGCTTTTCAAGGAGCTACTGTAACAGGTATTATGACCAGATGAGTAAACTGAGGCCCAAAAGGCTTCCACTCATCCATCCCCACTCCTTGTGAACAGCAGAGCACATCTTACTACTTGGCTTGCCTTCATTCTGCCCCTGACACGATGCAGGCATCCTAGAGGGTAGAGATGAAGTGACATTCCTGACCTCTTTGCTTCCTTCCTCACTAGATCCCCTGAGTTTGTGGCCAGGCCGCGCTCCTGTTAATCACCCCTTTGTGTTTTGTGGGATTGCACCTCATGTAAAAACCTTCTGGCTCCCACCAGGGGCAGCTTCAGGAGGGAGAAGGAGGGCAGTTTCACAATGCAACTGCACTGGAGCAAGGCAAAAGCACGTCCTAGACAGACAAGAGCCTCCTGTGCTCCAAGAAAGCCCGAGAGAAGTGGGCCTTTGCAGACAGTGCCCAGGGGTGAATACACCCATGGTATATTTCCTAAAGGTACGCGTGTCTTGAACACGAACCACTGCAGGGATCTTCACTAAGATCTGTTCTATGAAGCTCAACACACAAACTGTTCAAAATACTCATCAAGAAAATACTAATACACTTGAAGCTCTCATCTGCCTTCTAAACATTTCTAGTCCAACCTGTGGCCCATAAACATGATTTTCAGCCATTAAAACTGTAGTTTTTGCAGATTCACTTGTTCCAGGAGATGGAAATCTGCTCTAATGTGGAAGACAACAATTCTAATGATAAACTTTGGGACACACGTAACATTGTTCAGGTGTTAGGTGTGCACTTTTTAGAAGGATCTCCTACCCAGCAGTTACAGAGGAACATTAACCAGGCAGCAGTAACAGATTCTAACCAACAGCTGGAGTTCACAATTCTGGCGTATGACATGAAGGACAGAATGCTGAACAACAAACATAAGGTAAGAGGACACATGCAAACCCTGTGGATGCAATAAACATATCCTGCTGTAACAGGAGAAAGGCTCAGGCCATGCAGAGGTAGCAGGAGAGGAAGGGCAAGCAGAGCTGCATAATGGCAATGCCAAGAGGGTCCCTTCTTCTTGTCCTAAGAGTCCATTTACAGACAGACAGAGCCTTCTACCTACACTGAAAGGCTGAACTCCATACATGAAGTTATTACTAGTATTACTTGGTATTATTAGTAGAACGGGCTATCTTTGAAGGATGCTAAAGATACAGTTATTAGCTCACATAAAGTTGTATATAATTGATCCTTGAGAGTGGTCAGGATTTTCCTGCAAATCTTCCTCTTGTTTCTCCTGTTTCTGAACTGGAAAGACCCATCTCCAAATTTTAAAAAAGAAAGAAAAAGAAAATACCCATATTTAAGAAAACATAAGAAGAACAAGCTTTGAGCTATGCTCTCCTGCTTTTGCACTGACCTTTCAGGTGTAAATCCTCTCCTGTGCAGAGTCCTTTAGATTAATTAGAGCATTAGATTAATTCATACTCATGAGTGACTGGAGGAAAAAGCTGCTTTCTTTGATTGCAATGGGCCAGCAGAGTGATTGTGTAATTTCTGGGAGCCCAGAGACTGCAGTGATTTACAGCCTTGCACGGGTTTGCTCACGAGCACCCAAGGGCACAGCACCTACCAGGTCAGGGGGCTTTCGAGCTATTCCAGCAGGTTTTTAGATGCAGGTACTGGTCCTGCTCCATGACGTCTATCCTGTGCTATATCACTGAACACCACCCCTACACCCTTCCTAAACAACTACTTTTGTACGTCCACAGGGAGTGCACAGAATACAGCCCCCCGCCTTTTTTTTTAAAAAAAAAAAAAAAAAGGGATCTTGGACAAGTTCCCCCAACAAGGTGAAGCTACCACCTGGATTCCACTGGGAACTCTGGGTGCTGCAGGCCGACCTGCTGTGTGCAACCTCAGGGGCGCTGAATTCGGAGAGGAACCATGGCCCTACTTTATTGGAATTGCATGAGTTATTGCATGAGAGGGGGCAGGGGTGAATTAAGGGCCTAAAGGCTTCTTAAGGACCTGAAAACATAGTTTTATCTCAAATTTAATTAATGTAACCTTTCTAGGATCTGATCCCAAATATCAAAAATCCCCATTACTTCTGACAGCTTTGGATGAGGAAAAAGTATAGGCTGAACTAAAAATGGTGGAAGAGCTGTCAAAGGACAAAGAAAATTAGTATAATTTAAAAATGCTGCAGAATTTTAAAATAATTTTCTTGGCCACAAGTGTCTCAAAAAGCATTGCACCAGTACAGGTTGCAGTACAGAAAATTTGTTGACGAATACAATCACCTCATATAAACTAAACACATCTTCATGCTATACCCATGTTATTTAATCTTATCAGTGTTAATCAGTACTGATCAGTGTCTATAAGTACCTCAAGGGAGGGAGCGAGGAGGATGGTGCTGGCCTCTTTTCACTGGCGGCCACCAACAGAACTAGAGGAAGTGGCCGGAAACTGAAGCACCAAAAGTTCCACAGGAACTTAAGGAAAAATTTCTTAACAGTGAGGGTGACAGAGCCCTGGAACAGGCTGCCCAGAGAGGTTGTGGAGTCTCCTTCTCTGGAGATCTTCAAACCTGCTTGGACGCAGTCCCGTGCCACGTGCTCTAGGTGACCCTGCGTGTGCAGGGGGTTGGACTAGATAATCTCTAGAGGTCCCTTCCAACCTTAACCATTCTATGATCGTACGATTCTATGATTTGTGCTAGTAACCTGGCAAAGGAGGTCTAAAGACCTGTCCACAGCATGGAACATGTTTATACAGCTTCTAAATATTCAGAGTGAGATTAAAATGCACCTCTTGAGGACATTTCCATGTTTGTGAAAAGCAAATGCAACATATAAAATGCATATAGACATGATCCAAAAACAGAGGAAGTTTTTGCAAAATTATCTCCCCAAAGAAGCATTACATAGGATTATGTTAAATAAATACATAGTCCTTGTACAATAAGCAATTGACTTTGAACTGCCATGAAATAAACTATACATATACCTCTCTTGGATCTCAAGCTTTTGCAGTTCATCAGCCACTCCATAAGGCAGGATCTCCTTGGGCATATTGCAGCGCTGAGCCCATCGTGCAGCTGTGCTCTTGTCACTATAATTGATGAGCAATTGTATCAGGTGCCCTTGTAGCCACTGGTTCTCTCCAACCGTGTTCTGCAAAGAATCAAATGCACATGAAGACTGGCAGTGCAAGCTTCATGATGAGGATACCCAACCCTGTCTCAGGAGACTGACGTGGGTGACCCTCCAAGGGGTTTGGACAAGCAGAGGAGGAGCAAGGCTCTCCCTACCACACCAGTGATGATATTTAAATCCAGCGAGGGATGCATTTTTTTTGCCAAGAGATGAAGAGCACCTATCACAACAGGGCACTAGCCAAGCTCTCTACCTTCTTGGCTACAAGGTGGCTTTGAACTGCATTTAGTCACCTCATCGCAAGGGAGAAATGAAGGTAAAACAATGTCATTGTGCCTGACTGATGACTAGCACATAATTTGGGCTACCTCAGGTACCGACCAAATTAAGCAATATCAGAACACCTGACTGACTAGAGAAGAGAGAGTTCAGATAGATTTTACAAACTTTATCCCCACTGATTATGAAAGGAACCTTGGGCAGTTGCTTGGGCTATGCTGACTAACTCAGCGTGCTAGTAATTCCTCTCTCTGTAACTATTTAAGACCTCTGTGGTCATGAAAACTGGATTAGCTCTTCTGGGATATGAACACACATCTCAGGTGTCGTTGTAGGAATCCCATATGCACCTAGCATCCAGGATGGTTTAAAAGACGCCCAGGCCTTGGCATGTGTCTGAGCCCACAAGATGTAAGCACAAACTCACTGCTGTTTGTAGCTTGAGCTCTAACACTCAGCGTGGCCGAGGCGATCCAGAGTGGCTGAGGCACAACGCACTATGGCCAAAACAAGATGAAACCTGACATGGTAAGTCAGAACTCACAGCTACTCCATTACACTATTGTTAGCGCTACCAACAAGCACTTTCTGGGGCAGAGAAGGCCATGACATTGAAATGCCCAGATGCAAACTTTAAGTCTCCCTCTATGCACACACACCACAGCCATCACTCCTTGGCCGCGCAGGCACACAGTGCTTGCGGGCTCAGCAGCTGTTCCCAGGCACTGCAGGCACCTTGCTTTTTCTCTACAGCATGTACAAACACAGCCCAGCTGTGTGGTAAGCTGGGGGCCACCGGGCTTCATTCCTCTCATTCCTTTGGTAACTAAAAGGTGAGAAGTTGTCTTCAAAGTAGACGCCTTGTATAGACATCAGGGAAAAACCCTGTTGATGGCCCCAAGGTAAAAAAAAATAAAAATAAAATAATAGTAATAATAATAATAAGAAGAATAAGAATAAAGAATAAACAACCCCCCCAAAACTGCACAGAAGTGCAGGAAAGAGACTTGGAAGAAAACTCATGCAGAAATTCTGCATCCCAGGGAGTGCACACGGGAAAAGCCAGCTGCCCATAGAGCTACTGCCTGGTGATATAACAAGCAGATGATGCTAGTGAGACAGAGGCCCAAGAGCTGGGGAACACCATCTCAACCAGACATGTCAGTCACGAGAGAAGCAGGAAAGGGCAAATTATCCCAGAACCATGGAGATGTGTGCTCTCTCCATCTAAGGTTGTTTGGCTGTTCCATGCAGCCAAGATTTATGCCAGGAGACCTCAAGCACACACTTGAGCACCCAACTCTGCAGACCTCTGCACCAGCATTAACCTTGATAGGTGCTACAGTTGGGCAGTCCCAGGATTAAATGCAAGTCCTTCCCTGATAATGAACACAAGTCCCTCACTAGGTCTCCAGTCATCATGAGAAAGTCCTCTTTGTCCCAGAGCAATCTATGTGCAGTCTTTCAACTCTTCCCCTTTCAACTAATCTGTGTTTACTGCCCAAATCTCTTCTGGCCGTACCATCCCAGATACTCCGTGCATCTTGCACATCTCTGGTAATGCAACATGCGAAGCAGGCCTGAATAACCTTTTTTATCTATTTTGTAAGGCCGCTTTTCAGAGTCCTTCACAGAAAGGACAGATTTTTTTTTTTTATTAACATCACAGTGCAATGCCCTCCTAAAGGTTCCCCAGTGTCCATCTTATTGTCTTGCTGCCTTTTTCCTACAACACAAAATCTCTCGGCTGGATTTCTCCTCAATTCACCCAGAATCAATGCTGAACAAATCTTATTAGGCCAGCGTTACTTTGGAAATACTGAGGTGCGGGATATATTTTTTTTCCTTTTAATGATAACAGATTTAATCTTTCAACCACAAAAACTTCTCTGGAAAGAAGGTTAATCTCCAGAGATATTACATCTTGCATTATGAACTGGAAAATGGCTTTGTTTCGTTTTTACTCAAAAAAATGACATTGTTAGAAAGGGGAAAGGCTTCCACTGCAAAAGCTTTGCAAGAGGAAAGAATGCGGAAAACTTTGGCCACAGAAGATGTGGGCACAGATGTGGAGACAAACATGTCACTTGGGATGACATTTCATGTGTTTTGCTTTCAGTAAGTAGACACTTTTGAAGAGGACACCAGCACAGCCGCTTTGATCAACATCAGCAAGAACTCCAAGCAAGAAAGGATTATAAATACTATGAGGCTTGTTTACAACCCTCTTCATTTTAGACATATCATACCTTCTTTAATCCACAGCCGCGCACAGAAATTCCCAACACCAACAGCCCATGATTAAAGCTTTTCAAAACGATTGCTAGAGATCACCTACCTGTAAATCCTGTTCCTACCCAGCTCAGTGCTTTTCCGAGCTCATAATAAGCAGCATAGAGGAAGCTTAGGAATGTCCTGATCTTAAGCTACAGTATCTGCAATTCTTCTATAGACATCAATAATTTTGAACCCAAACATCCAATATCTTTTCTGAAAGTCACCCTTGTCAACCCTAGATTACATTTATCTGTTTTTAGTCTTTCTCTTGCCCTTCCGACTAATACAATTCCCCACTTTCCTCTCATATCCTTTACTGGAGAGTGAAGTTAATCACCTAAGTGACACTGGTTATTTGCAGAGTTGGATGTTAATTTGACTTTTGAATGTCCTGGCCAATCTCCCCTGTTCTCAAGTGCTTCCAGAAACAACACAAAAATGCTGTTTGTGTAGAGAAAATGTCAAAGAGAGAATTTAAGAGCCAGCAACTTTAAAAAACAACAGAAACCTGAACTTTGAAAGGACAAAACAAAACTGGAAGCAGTGGAGGCTAGCAATAGTGTTTCTAAAGTCACTGCACTGCTACAGGCAGTGTCTAGATTGCCTTGGTTTACAGATCCCACGAAACATCTTGCCATATTGTTTTTGTTGTTTTTATTTGTGAACAAAATCTCTGCTTTGAAGTTAGCATCACTTATACTAGACAGAGAGGGATCTTAAATGCAAGCTCAGACCAGCAACACAGCCTCTTCCAGGAAAGAAGGGTCTCCTGACTTCCAGAAAAGCCTGAAACAGGCACCCTGATAAGAGATGCTCATATTTCTCATGCTTACTTCTGACTTGTAAAAATGAGCAGGCCACTCATAGATGGCCATCGTACAAAAGACACACAGATGAGAAAGACTTAGTTTCTCACTGCTTGAACTGTTCTCTCTCTCACGCACAGGCCCTGGCTGCTCAGATGCACTCATTTATGAACTGAAGAACAAAATAGTCCTCATTCATATCCCAGCAGAGTGGCTTTCAGATAGCAATCAGTGCGTCATTGACAGCGCCACAGCTCAATGCTTTGGGAAGCTATTACCACATCAATGGTGGGGAAGTGGTCTTTCTTCTCTCCTTCAACAAAGCTTTGGCAATTGGGCTCCCTGGGGCATGTTCACACCACCTCACTTCAGCTTTGGGAGTCAGAAGACTCAGCTTCCCAGTCTCCCCATATAATCATCTGGGAGAGACAGGTCTTCCAAAAAGGCAATTCAGAGGAGCCTAACTTACAATATCACTTAAGCTGATCAAAGCAAAGGCAACTCTTAAAGCCAGTTGCTGATGCAGTGGTGTTTCTCACAATAAGCTTACTGCTGCTGGCCAACCTGAATAAAGTTGCTTGGTTGTGACAATATTGACAATATTCAGCTATGACTATATTGCGAGACAAGAAGTGTCTGACTTCTTTCTTCTCTCTGCAGCTCTCACCATCTCGCCAATGCAAAGGCTCATTCAGAAGTCTAGGCACCACTATCAAATAGCACAACTATAAAGCCGGTCTGCTAAAGTTCACCAAGCCACCTGCACGTGCAGCTGCATTCCAGCTGGGCAGGCTGAAGGAAGGGATTTACTCCCCTCTCTGTTCAGCACTTGAGACCACACCTGGATGCTATATCTAGTCTTGGTCCCTCAGTTTAGGAGAAATATTGTCAAAGAGAAGAGAGGGCATTGAAGAGTCTCTAAGATGGTTAGGGGGCTGCAGTATACAATAAAGAAGAGACTAAAGGAGGGCCTCTTTTCAGAAATTTTAGGTCACAAAGCATTGAAACAGGGAGATTTTTCAAAGCTCATCCAGGAAAGGTCCTGTAACACCATGGTCCAACTTTGAAACTGGCCTGCTCTGAGCAAGAGGATGGACTAGAGACCTCCACATGTCCTTCAAACCTTAATTAGCTTATGAGTCTGTGATTGGTACTGACCTACCTTCCACAGCACTTACAGGCAGGAGGCTTTTTGCAGTGACTATTGCTTTCAGACTGCAAGCTCCTTCCGAGCTAAGAACACCCAAGATGATCCTGATGGGGCTCAACAATACTACATAGAGATCCAAAATATATTTGCTGTACTGCAAAAATATACCAAACAACCAAACAAGTCTTCAGAAGTTGTCTTCACCAGATGAAATCATCACGTTTCCAAAATCTATTCAGAATTCCCTACATGAGTCAAGATATACATTTGAAGTAAAAAATGAATTCTGCTTTCAAAGTCACATCTGAAAAGGGAGCATTTTCAACAAATATTAAGCAAGAGACTGAGGGATTTTTTCTTCTTTTTAAACCACAATGCTGGACAACCAAACATTTGCTTCTACCAGCCCCTGCCCAACTCAGAGACATATAACACAAGTAAAATGTTTGTTGGTAACAGTTCATCTCAGGGCACAGGATGTTTCCTATTTCAGAGAAGAAAAAACT